TTAAATTTAGGATTGAAAGGACGCTTCTTTAACGATATTGATGTAATAAAAAGGGCCGTAACATCGACTTTAAGGGCCATGACAACAGAAGAACGACATAGGTCGTTCCATTGTTTGTTAGATCGTGCCACTTGCTGTATCAATGCTCAAGGGGCTAACTTTGAATCATATACAGATTATATCTTCAACTGTTAATTATTTAAATTTGTATGCAGTTAGTCTAATTTCTTAATTGTAAGACCTTGTATGATGTCGATTCTTTTTTCAACATATTAAAACATTTTTTAAGGTGAGGGGGGGGGGGGATGGATATATTCCTCGACGAAATCCTCACGGAGGAGGGGGGGGGGGAGATATGGCTTTACTTCCTAAATGTGAGATGAAGTAACAGTGGTAAGCAGTGAGTAAGCAATTCTTTACAGGACATGGCAGAAATAACCACAGCATTTTCTAGCTGTTGTGGATTTTTTAGGCACATTTTCGTCCAGCAGTTTGCCATGGCTTCCTGGAAGGTTGGCTTCTCAATACCACTGTCGAAACCAAGGCAAGGACCAAGGCCCTCAGCTGGGATCGAACCAGAAACCCCGGCATTATGAAGCTCGTTCGCAACGCCTAAGCCACAGACGCCGACCTTCTCCAAACAAGCCCACAAACTTCAAGCAAACATTTTCGCATTGTGACCTTCTGCTTGTAACAAAAAACAATCACACTATGAATTTCACACCTAGCGGGAAAGACAGTAGCACTGTTCATTTATATTCGTTTGCGATTCATTAACCACTGAACATTTGTGACTCTTGGAAGATGCACGGTGAGCTAAACTAAAAGACTACTGCATGGTACAATCAATGAATGTTGTCGATATAGCATACGATTTATTTTTAACAGCCGATCGCAGGTTGGTTTTGCAATCGCTTTGTAATTGTTACTGGCTCCAGGCAGACATTGATACCCAAACAGGTACCAGGATATAAGACGGAAAGTAAATTAGGCTTGAGTGATTTAAACCACCGTTGTCTAGCAACACTTGTGTTTCGGGTTTGGACAACGGATAAACATCCTGGCACCCTTAAATGCTCTGTTCTTTTTTCTAACCCAAGTCTGAGTATAATGAAGCTCAGCAAAAGCTCTTTAGCACCAGCGAGGATCCTGAACTACTTTGGGTAGATTTGTATCTCCAAATTTTACCCATTAGGCTGCTCTTTTCGATATCCAACTGCCAAGGGATTTATAGCGTGCGCAACAATGCACACGGGCGTCTGATCTCACTACCAAGAGACCAGGGGGGAATTACTAGAAGTGTAAGTCCACGTAAAAAAATCCCAGCCCTTACTGGAGATTTGAACCCGGCACCTCTAGCACTCGAGGCGGACACCATGTCTCCAAACCACTCAGCCACCTTAGCAACACTTGTCTGAAGCGCCAGCTGGGTGATAAGAGTCGTTTGCTTTTACAAAACATGTCCTTGAGAGATACGTAATCAGAGATCACGGCTACTCCGTGTCAAGGAACCAAAAACAAAAAAAAAAGTGATAAAAACGATCGTATTTATTCACAGATTAAAATGAACGACATAATAGCTTCTGGAAAGTATGTGGTAAGCAGTTTTTCTTTGATCGTTCACGTATAAATTCAGTGAAGAGTACGGTGCTGCGACTGAAAAAAGGAATATTAAAGGAATCGTTTTAACAATAAAAGGTAAATTTCTCTAAGATGTGTCTGTTGACTTCATTTTTAAATTAAATTAAATGTGATAAGATGTGATGATAGTTGGAACGTTTTATAGGTTATTGTTACTCTCTTGCTTGTGTGTTTACTGTCAAGCTGTTGTACACGCTGTGAAGGCCCCGTCCATTGCAAAACGGCCCGCAGCTGGAATTGAATGCGGCACCCTAGGATTACAAGGCTCGTTCCTAACGCCTAGGCTACAGCTGCCGACCTGAGAAGTAGAGAGGGGATAAAATAGTTTGAAAGAATCAAAGATAGAAACTGATGGTGGTGGTTGTGTGTGTGTGTGTGGGGGGGGGGGGGGACACCATGTTTCCATGCTGGTCTGTTGGCGACTTCTGCTACCATCAATGATGAACTGCAATTCTTATACTGTGATAAACATTCTGTGTGTTTTTCGTTGGCACAGGAGCGGAGCAAAGATGGGGTGACCCGTTTGCTATGAAGCTGAAACTAAGACTACCAGACTACCAGACTACCAATTCAGTCATCGGGGGCGGGGGGAACTACACAGATTGCGACGTATCAGAAAGATAGGAATCGGCTCTTTTCGGGGTTGCTGGCTGAACGTGACGAATTGTTTCTTCTAAAAAAAAAAAAAACGGAGGATGCTGAACGACTGTGTGAGTAAACTAATGAATGAAACATTAGAGTTAAGAAAAATGCGAAAAATCACGGAAGTCTGACCAAATGCTGTTGTCAAGAATGATATGAGAATGAACCACAAACTACACTCCTTAAAATATTATTTATAAAATAAAGTAAAAGACTCTTTTCAAAGCCTTGATGCGTATTGGGCATGTAGGGCCAGACCTATATTTTATAGACCAATCGGCACTGGGTAGGTGATGTGGTCAGTATCACGCCGGCCGCCTTTATTTTCCAGGATTTCACCTGGTACCCGATTCAAGCTGGGTTGATCTGGAAGCCACAGTTATTTTTGAAAAACAAAAAGGAGACCGACTGGGTCAGGACCCGAATCCAGGACCTATAGAACCGCATGCCAGCGTCTAGTCGCTACACCACAGTGACATTAAATCATAGTAATAAAACTAACAGACCCATTTCTACGCATTTAAGCGTATTGGGCATATAGGGTAGACCTATGTTTTATAGACAAATCGACAGTTGCTGGTTGATGTGGTCAACACCACACCGACCGCCTTTACTTCCCTTGACTGAATAATTATTATAATAGTTTAAATTTCTGAAGCTTTTCCCCCTTTCTCCTCTAGCGCTAAAAAATTACCCACCGTTAATTAACTCATCGACTGTGTAGAAATGGGTGATTGATTTGCATCCTGAATTAACTGTGTCTGTTAATTATTTCCTTAGGCTATAAATGTGTGGTTTATTTTAATTCACACGTTTACGTCCTTGTGTAGTTTTAATTCCCAGTCATCCATCTAAATTATTTAATTTCTATTTCTGGGAAAGATATATTCTCATTTCCATGTCTATTGGCTTATGAAACACTTTTTGGGAGCCGCGTTAGCTCAGTCGATACGAAGCTCGCTTTCAAATCCAGCTGCGACTCGCTGCAGCCCACGGTCGGTCTTCGAAACCGGGCGGCTGCCGGGGTTCACCTAGCCTCTAGGAAATGGGTACCAGTGTGACACTCTGGGGTAAATTGAGGAACGTCGCTGTAGCTACAGAGTTACGTGCTGACAGCGACACAGTCTGACAGTTTCTTATCAGCTGTCCGTACTTGTGGCAGAGCACTTATGGTTTATAACCGTGTGCAATGACACTGGTTCACATCTCCCGACTTGACCTTTTTACCTTTTTTAAATGCAATGTTGTGTTTGTACAAGCCAATCAAAACCCAGAAGATGGGATCAAAACTAAGGGGGTGGCCTTTACTTCCGATGAAAATTCCAAATTCTAGATGCGCGTCTTGGGCTAGATCGACGGTTCTCAACTTACCGGTCGCCACCCTTTTGTATGTGTATGTGTGCGTGTGTATGTGTGTGTGTGTGTGGGCTGGTATCGAACGACTCTTTCCTAGCAGTTTACTAAGAGCATCGGGAAACATATATTCATTAAAGTTATAAAGAAACAAAATTGTTTGTAGGTCGCCACAACATGAGGGAACTGTATTAAAGGGTCGCGGAATTAGGACGGTTGAGAGTCACTGTGCTAGATCGACCAGGCATAAAATACGTCAGATCAGTCTGGCCAGGCCTGTCTCTTTAAAACCAGAAAACTATCAGAATATTCTATCTGAGTTTATATTCGGCCAAAGCTAAGAAGAAGAAGAAGAAGAAGAAGAAGAAGAGAAAGAAGAAGAAGAAGAAGAAGAAGAAGAAGAAGAAGAAGAAGAAGAAGAAGAAGAAGAAGAAGAAGAAGAAGAAGAAGAAGAAGAAGAGGGGGCTCTTTGGCGAATCGACCAATCCCTCGCTCTTTCCGGGGTTGTGGCTTCTTTCCACTAGACTGCATCTTCGGTTGCAGTGCCAATTTTAGCACTGGGAACCTCTGCGGATAGTCGCACAAGCTAGGAAGTGTGTGCTTTGTGCTGCACTGTCAGCATGCGCTAACCTGCCTGCGAGGGGAGACAGAGCTGTATGCAATAAAGTCTAGAGCAATGTAGCTGACCTTCCCGATTCTAACTGTAACTCTATTAGAGTAAAGTAAAGTAAGGGAAAGACCCGTTTGCACGCCAGTCGTTTTGAACACATAGGTCTAGACATGTCATTGACCAGTTGGAACTCGGTGGGTGACATAGTCAACATCGCGTTGGCCGTCTTTACTTCCCATGACTATACATGGTACCAACTCAAGGCTAGGTCGACCTAGGGAGCTATGTTATTTTGGGACATAAACCCAAGACTTTCGGATTCGCAGGCGATCTCCTAGCCGCTACACCACGATTTAAAGTTAAAGTTGGTATCGTCTTTTACAGGACGTTGCAAAACCAACCCCATCATTGTTTGGCTGTTGCGATTTTTCTTAGTAAATTTACGTCTAGGAGTTTGCCATTGCTACTGGACGGTGGGCTTCTCGATACCACGAAGCAAAAGCAGGGCTCAAGTCCCGCAGCTGGGATCGAACCCGGCATCCCACCTAAACCACAGACAACGACGATATTACTGGATTAAATTGGCAGCTCAGTATACGCTGGTATAACGCTGTGAGACATATTGTTTCAATTCATTTTTTTTAGTTCCATCTATGCATTGTATGTTGTTAATCTACGTACTTTTGTGATTTCACGAGAAAATAACTTAATCTTTATTACAGGAATTTTAAAGTGGAGACGTGATCGTTTGGTGATGAAGACATTATTTACAGCTCTCTTCTTCGTCTTCACGAGCTATTGTGAAGTACGTGCAGACATTGTTCTGGGGACGTTCCCAGAGGATTTTGCATTTGGAGGTCAGTAGTTCAGCTTTCCCTACAGAGGGCGCATGGGATGAAGATGGTAAGATGTTCTGAATATTTGTAAATCTATAGAGTATTATCTGACTGTCTGGCTGGCTTGCTGGCTGCGTGGCTGGCTATCTGTCTGTCTCGTTGTCTGACTGCCTGTCTGTCTGGCTGTCTGTTTGTCTGCCTGGTTAACTATCTGGCTAGTTGTACGTCTGAATAACTTTCTGGCTCATTATCGGGTTGGCTGTCTGTCTGTCTGTTGGACTGGCTATCTGTCTGTCTGTCTGTCTGTCTGTCTGTCTGTCTGTCTGTCTGTCTGTCTGTCTGTCTGTCTGTCTGTCTGTCTGTCTGTCTGTCTGTCTGTCTGTCTGTCTGTCTGTCTGTCTGACTGACTGACTGACTGACTGAGACTGACTGACTGACTGACTATCTGGCTAGTTAAACCTCTCGCTGTCTGCATGGCTGGCTATCTGTCTGTCTCGTTGTCTGACTGCCAGTCTGTCTGGTTGGTTGGTTGTCTGTCTGTTTGGCTATGTAGTTGGCTGTCTGTTTGTCTGTCTGGTTGACTGTCTGTCTAACTGACTTTCTGGCTAATTATCTGGTTGACTGTGTGTCTGTCGGACTGGTTATCTGTCTCTGTCTGTCTGTCTGTCTGTCTGTCTGTCTGTCTGTCTGTCTGTCTGTCTGTCTGTCTGTCTGTCTGTCTGTCTGTCTGTCTGTCTGTCTGTCTGTCTGTCTGTCTGTCTGTCTGTCTGTCTGTCTGTCGGACTAATTGACTGACTGTCTGGTTGTCTGGAGGTCTATCGGTCTGGTTGATTCTCTGCCTATCTGGCTGACTATGTGTCTGCTTGTCTGGCTGACTTTCCTGATGTCTGTCTGTTTATATATGTGTATGTCAATCGGAATCTAAATTTATGTTTGTCAGCTGGTTTGATGTCTACCTCACTGCCTATCTGCATCTTGGTCTGTCTCTGGGATTAATTTTTCTTTTCTGTAGGTATGCATGTTTCTCTCAGTCTTTGCCTGTCCGTGTTTTTTTTTTTTAAATAATATTTTTGTCGATTTGTTTACCTTTACACACACGAAGCATGAGCTTGCTTAAAAGATAGAGACCCGGTGCATGGACACAAGAGTGCATGGGCGTTTACAGATCGCTCTGATGGCAGGACAGTCCAAGAAGCCAGTCGTGCCTTCTCTATGACCACTACCAGCATAGTGGTGGAGATGATGGCGGTGACACACGCTTTTATCTAGTATCACGGCCTATTCAGGCGTGTGTGTCCTGAGTGATTCTATGAACATGATATGCTGGGTTGAGGCAGGCCCCATTCGCTGACAGTAGGGTCGTTGCGAATCTCCCACGTGCGTGCAGTTACCTTCATCATTGTCCTAGAAATAACAGCTGTTGGTAGCAATGAAAGAGCTGAGATAGTGGCTGGTTCCGTCTCACTTACCAGCCTATGGATCGCACCGACGTCGTTAAGGACCTTACAGATATAGGACGATCCGAGTATTTTGGGAGCAGCTGTGCCCATACCACTGCTAAGAATACGATAACCTGGAGTAGAAATCGGCACAGCCGAGGATGAGAGGCACACCGAATGAACTGATAGTCTTGTTAATCAGTATATGACTGGCACTATTATTCGCAGGATGCTGATGTCGTGTGTTGAAGGAGGAACCTGTGCAGCTATGGATGTGTCCGAAGTGCTGTAAAGATAAGATAATCCAAAACATCATTTATTAACTAAAAAACACTGATGAACAATATATATCTACGATAACACACACAGATGGAAAATGTACTAAACTCGACATACAAGACACAAACTTCTTCGTCTTCTTTAAGTCCATGCCGTGTGGCGTTGGTAGTCATGTGTGTCCATAACCTTCTGTCTCGTGTACTTTCAGTCAACTCTGACACAGATGATCCTCCATGCCATAACGTCAGACTGTCCAGCATCTTTTCTCTCGGTCTCCCTCTGCCTCTCCTCCCCTCCAATTTTCCTACCATCACGATGTACTCGTCTTCTCCTTCTCATCACATGACTAAAGAATGTAGATTGTCTCTTCATAATGTGGGCAATCAGTTCTCTTCGTGAGTCAATTTCTTTTAAGACTCTTCCATTACTTTTTTTTATCTGCGTAGGGTTTTCTCATCATTTGTCTATAAAACCACATCTGCACAGCTTCCAAATCAGTTTCACTAATCTACCAACCATTCGTGATTCACTTCCATATATTAAGATAGGATTTATATGGCTTTTAAGAGTTCTCTTCGTGAGTTTTTTCTCTCAAGACGCCTCCATTACTCTTTTTATCTGCGTAGGGTTTTCTCATCATTTGTCTATAAAACCAAACCTGCGCAGCTTCCAAATCAGTTTCACTAATCTACCAACCATTCGTGATTCACTTCCATATATTAGGATATTATTTATTTAGCTTTTAAGAGTTCTCTTCGTGAGTCGTTTCTTTCAAGACTCTTCCATTACTTTTTTTTATCTGCGTAGGGTTTTCTCATCATTTGTCTATAAAACCACATCTGCACAGCTTCCAAATCAGTTTCACTAATCTACCAACCATTCGTGATTCACTTCCATATATTAAGATATTATTTATTTAGCTTTTAAGAGTTCTCTTCGTGAGTCGTTTCTTTCAAGACTCTTCCATTACTTTTTTTTATCTGCCTAGGGTTTTCTCATCATTTGTCTATAAAACCACATCTGCACAGCTTCCAAATCAGTTTCACTAATCTACCAACCATTCGTGATTCACTTCCATATAATAGGATAGGATTTAAATGGCTTTTACCAGTTCTCTTTCTCGTCTCTATTAACAAAGAAAGATTGCATAACAAATTCTTCATTTTGTAAAATACTGCTTTTGCTTGAACTATTCAAAACTTCCTTAATACATCTTTTATCCGCTGTTATTATTGTACCCTAGTTATTAAACATATCAATTTGCTTGAGGTTTGTCCAATTTACTTCTATCTCACTTTTTGGAGAATTAGTTTGCTTTTTTTTTTACCATTACTTCTGTTGTTTTTTTTTTTTTTCTTTTTTTTTTCTACTGTTTAAACTAAGACCCTTGTTTTCACTTTTCGTTACAATTATGTAATAACATTTTCAACACATACGGAAATACAGAAATGAGACATAAGGTCGTACACACAGACAATACATTAACTACATCAGGAATACAGAAATGAGACAATAATTTGTAGACGCGGACAATACATAAACTACGTCCGGAATTCAGAAATGAGACATTAATTCTTAGACGCGGACAATACATTAACTACGTCAGGAATACAGAAATGAGACTTTACCATGGACAATACATCAGCTACGTCAGGAATACCGAAATGAGACATTAAGTCGTAGACGCGGACAATATATTAACTCTGATACACACTGACAATACATTAACTTTCATACACACGGACATACATTAACTCTAATACACACTGACATTACATTAACTCTAATACACACGGACAATGCATTAACTCTGATACACGCAGACAATACATTAACTCTGATACACACTGACAATACATTAACTCTCATACACACGGACATACATTAACTCTAATACACACGGACATTACATTAACTCTAATACACACGGACAATACATTAAAACTCTGATACACGCAGACAATACATTAACTCTGATACACGCAGACAATACATTAACTCTAATACACACGGACAATACATTAAAACTCTGATACATACAGACAATGCATGATATACACGCAGATATTGCATGCTATTTAGCGAGCTATATAATGCGGATTCTTCTTCTAAAAAAACTGCGAAATAAAGGGTAATTATATTTTTAAAGAGACAATTTTAGCTAACTTAGGTGACATAACATTCTTTTGAAAGCCATACTGGGCTAGATGAGGGATGTGGGAAGTTCGAGGGCAAAAAAGTAAGTCGTGACAGCTATACAAATTGCAGGAAAACATCAAGAGATGGACACAAATCAGTCTGAGATAGTGTACAAACCAAGACAAGGGGTAGAACGTGTTGGTGATCCATTGACAATCTTACCTGTGGAGACGGTGCCTGATTCGCTGACAATTTAATTTTTGTTGTTTTTTTTTTTGTTTGTTTGGGGTAGGCAAAGGAGTCAGTAACTGGGACCTGTTTAGCCTGACCAGTAGCAACATCCAAGGTGGAGGGGACGCCAAGATTGCAGCCGATGGCTACCACAACGTGAAGACAGATGTGCAGCTGTTGAAGTCACTAGGGGTAAGTGAATAATGCCTTTCATTGCAATATTTTGTTGACCTTTTTTCCCAGTTCGACCCAACTTATAATGGGTACCAGGTCATGTCACGGGAAGTTAAGGCGACCAGCGTAAAGTTAACTATATTACCCGTCAAATGACGATTGATCTATAAATTTAGCCCTAGCCCTGAATGCCCGATACGGCATAGGAGTGTGATAAGTCTTAATTTTTTTTTTTTTTTAAATATTTATGCAAGTGGGTGGCGTTTATATAAAAGCTGTAATCGCCTTTTACTATTTCCACTGAGAAAGAGTTGAGTTAGGTCGAGTCAAGAACTGACTTCACGACACTTGGGGCATTCCCATATTCGCTCTGTCCCTATCTTCAACATTGAGCGCAGAGTTCTAATACTAATGGTACCGGTCGTAGTCTGTGTGTAGTGAGCCGACCTGACCTTCGGGTCACACCCAGGTGTTCTATTTTCTCCAGGCTATAATAATCTAGTTTTTCTTCTGACTTCGTCACTTGTTCCCAAAGAGCATTGGTCACGTCTGTCTTGTCATGTATCAATTCACCATCCAGTTGTGCAGATCCAGCCAATCTGTCTGCCTGTTTATTCCCTACAACGCCCGCTTACCCCGAGAAAAGATCCAAAGTATGCTCACTACCCGTGACCTTCCACGTGACGCTTGCCACATTGTTCGATGCATCCCTGTCTTCATCTTTCTGAGCACGCATTACACCATGTGTATGCATCTTGATCTCTAGCACCAGAAAGCTGCAGTGACCGCCTACGCCTCCACTCTCATGCTAGATGTTGTGGTATCATACTAGGCAGTCCTGTACTAAAAATTTTCCATTGGCTGTCGCTACGAACCCCCATGCACTTCTTTTCTCTCTCAATACAGAAGCATCTGTATAGATAATCAGATCATCTGGACGGGAAATTGTAGTGAATCCACTTTAGTCTTCCACCTTTGCAAAAGAAAAATGTACTATTTTGCTATTTATTTTTACTGTTTACTATTTATTACAAATGTCTACTCGCTTCAGGTTTTGCCGAGTAAATAAAGCTTGTTAAGTCTATTAAAACAGCTAAAAATAAGTCTCGCTGCCTGCTTACGCCACTTTTGCAAAACTGTGTTGGGTGAGAGTTACCAGTTACTAATATTACGATGCTAACTGCGCTTGCATAATATGTCAAGTAACTTACCAATCTTTGCCTCTTTTTTAAATAAAATAAGAGAGAACGCCACATATTGGGTTGAAGTAACAAGTGAGAGTGGGGGGATTTATATAACTGAAAGAAAATCAAAAAAAAAAAAAAAAAACAGGTTAAGAAATGTCTGCCCCATTGTGGATAACCAGTAAATTTGTATTGTGTTTGTGCTGAAAAAGCAACTCAAGTTTTTCCTCTCCTCTATGGGAAATGTAAATGACATAAATTACCTGGCGTAGAACCAGCATAATAAACATATTGGCGTACACTGACAAGTTGGTATGCCTCGAATACACTATTTGCTGTTGCGAAGCGCTTTCGTCCTTTGAGGTGATAGGTTCGATTCCGTACGTAATAACTTCCTCTTCTTCGTCTATAGTCCTGTTCTGCTTTTAAGCGTCAGGTTTTGAAGATGTATCAGGCGGAAACCTTGGTATGTGCTACGTGATTTCTAGTATTTACAGTCTCGGATACTCCATCGATCCTATCGCTTGCGTGGTCGGCCTCTAATTCTGCTTCCATTATGTCTAAGTGGCAGGGCTCTCTGTGGTACACTGTCTGATGTCCGAACCATTTCATCTACTGTGTGGCATGGTAACTACAGCTTTCGGGTTTTGAATGATCGAATATGCCCGTCTGGAAGCCGACATGGTCTAGCGGCTAGACGCTCGCCTGCGGATCGGAAGGTCCTGGGTTCGGTTCCTGACGAGGGCCGGATTTTTTCTTTTTAAATGACCTTGGCTCCCAGGTCGACCCAGCCTTGAGTGAATACCAGTTACAGTCCGAGAAGTAAAGGCAGCCGGCGGTTATGCTGACCACATCGTTCACCAAGTGTTGTTTGGTCTATAAAATATAGGTCTAGCCCAATTTACCCAATACGCCTAAAAGGCGTAGAAAAGGGGCCTTTACTTTTTTTTACATTTAATTTGCCCGTCTGTCTTTCTGCATTTTTCTTTATGTGCCGATTATTACGTTTCAGTTAGTTTATTATGCAGAAAAAAGTTTGTGTTCAAATCGCCTACATGTAACCAGTTACATTTGCCACATTGTCTCCAGGTGTCCCACTACAAGTTCTCGTTGTCATGGTCTCGCATCCTGCCATCTGGAACTACCGAAAACGTTAACCCAAAGGAGTGGACCATTATAATCAGTTAATCAACGCCCTCCTGGCCAAAAACATCCAGCCGTTTGTGAGTCTCCATCACTGGG